CCACAAGATGGTCCAAGATGACTTCAACGGGAGCAGCTCCAAGTATTTCACATCCATACTCTTATTTTGACAGGAAATTATGTCTGCTACATAGAATGATGACACCCTGCTCACAGCCTGTGAGACACTGCTAGTCCAAATCCCCACTTCCTCAAAGAAGCCAAGCATTGCTAAATGTATCTTGACGAATTTGTCCCCGAAATACACCCAGCGGGAAAGCTGTTGCAGATCCATCATTATCTTACTGCTGTCTAAAGAGGCTGAGAGGGTTAGAGACCCATGTAAATAAAGCTCCTGAAAAGGAGCTTAGCATACTAGTGTTCAGTGATTGCCAGCTAAGATATCACTGGTAGAATGAACTATACACATGGTAACACTTTTGCTTTCAACCTAATGCTTTATTAGCTCTCTGTATTGAGAGATTCTGTTATCAAAAAAAGTGTTAAAAAGTCAACAGTTAGCTTTTAGAGCAACTATATAAATACAAGCACAGTTTATTGTTTTAACAGTGGCAACAGATCTCATCTGATGCGGTCATAGCCCCCAAGGATAGCCGCAGCCATCTGTTATACAAATAACTCACTAGTGAAAAGCAAATACTTCCATGAGATTAACTGAAAAATCTGCTGGAGTTCACTGTCATTAGCTGGCCAATAAACATGGGGAGCTAAAGAAAATGTGGGTATTGAAAGCATCAAAAAAATCTTACTTAATGCAAGCTGAAAAGAGAATTTAGGCGACCTCACAGGTTTAAACTTCCTTATATATTCAAGGAGGAGAGTTGAAAAACAGTTGCATTACAATTACGAAAAGCTCTAGATTAATAAAGGAGAGTATTTTTATTCATATTAAACTGTCACTGTACCTAAGTGGCTGGAGAAAGGGGTATTGCACACAATTGAATACTCTGGTTAAGAGAAAGTCACTATGTAGCCTATGTATGTGTTATCAATATCCAGGATCTCCAAATACAGTCAAAGCCACTTAACACAGTGAAACAGAATCTAGCTTCATCTTTCTTTGACAATTCATAAAATAGCTCAGGATCATACCAGGTCCTTCTGAACATTAATTTCTCTTACTATTTTCTTTCTTTAGTAATAAATTCAAGGAAGAAAGAAAGGAGAAATAAAAAGAATTAAGATGTGTTATGTATCTACAATAGATGATAGGAAAGGGAAAGAAATTGGTCAAAGGAAGGAATGACTGGGAAGAGGAAAAGAAGAAAAAAGAAAGAAGGAAAGCAAAATATAAATACATATATATCTATATATAAATATTGATATAGATAGATATGAATAGCTGCAACAATGTATTGCTGATGTCTGATGGTGTATTGCAATGAATAGTTAATGATTACAATTTTTTATGTTCTGATCGACTTTGCATGCTTGTGTCTGGTGGTCTGAGCAACTGATTTGAAGGTGACAATATGCAATGGAAGTAGGTGAACTCCTACCATCTTGTCTAGTGAAACTCTGTATTATCTCTAATGTTTTATCTAAGAATTATTTTCTTATTCTCTTTAATGGCTTGAGCAATCTTTCATTCTTGCATCTGGTAATCTGAGCAATGTAGTTGAGGATAGTGATATGTAATGTAACAACCACTGTTGATTTGTATTATTTTGTCCTGAGACCCTGTATCACTTTGAAGGTTCTTGCTTTGATCTGTTTATGTTCGTGATACTGGTATGCTGCTACTGTTCTGTTTTTTGTTTGTTTGTTTCTCATTTACTACTCTCTTTAAAGTAAAAAAAAGATGTGTTATGTACATGTTATATACCAGCTCACCAGGATGAGTGTGATCATTATGCATTCTAAACATGTAGCATTAAAAAATTTTAAAAATAAATAAATCTGTGACACCAGACTGTCATTTGTCTTTCTCCAATCCCAGTGAGAAAAAAACATGCCTTTTGCTTTCTGATGTCAGTGCCTCTGAGGGGGGTAGTTAAGTGTTCTTTGGTGATGCTTTTCCAATGAGACAAAATAGAACTAGTTTGTTTATGAGCAATAATCCCTGTGGGAAATTGCTCCAGAGAGCCCCTGGCATGGATGTCACCTTTGAGAAAGACAAACTGGGGTGTCATTTCTATGCTGATGATCTCCAAACCCCAGCTCTACCTTTTTTCCAACCCTGAGTACCTGCCTAAACTTGCCTTCTGTCTCCCTTATGCCTAAGAACTTCTAAGTTGTGCTAAGGAGAGTTCACACTCAGAAGTAAAGGAAAACAGCAAAATATGAAACAAAACCTCAGGAGGACAGTTTCCAACAGCAACACATGTGACAGAGAAGACCAAAATGGACAGGAACAGGTGGGATCCTTCATGTGCCACTGAGAAAAAGCACTGCAAAGATGCTGATCTGCACGAAATGTAACCAGTCTTGCTATGGTCCTGATAAGAGAGAGCCGAGTGCTGATGGGTACCCTTCCTGTACAATATGCCCAGTTCCTGCTCCTCCCAACATGCATATACTCACTGTGATTCTACCAGACCCCAAAGTCACCCTGAGGGCATTAGAAAAACACTAAGCTGGGAGTCAGGAGACCAACAGTCACTAATGCCCTCAGTACCTGGGGTGGGACACTTGTTTGTGGGCCTCAGCTGCTCCTCAGTGAAGGGAGATGAGTGGAGGAAGGATACTCATCACTGCATACTTGATTCAATTATCTTGTGTGCCCCTTATGGACATGGACCAAACTTTAATTCCTTGTTTCAGTTCTCTCATCACTGAGACAAAATACCAAACACCCAAAGTTAAGGAGGAAAGGTTTATTTAGCTCACAGTTTGTGGAGGTTTCAGTCCATCATTGGCAGGCTCCAAAGAAAGGGTCATGGCAGACAGAGTTGCACAGGAGAAACAGGTTACAGTGGGCAGAAGGTAGCAAAGCAAGCAAGGGACAAGACAAGCCTCTTCCTGTCCCTTATATTGTATCCAGGCTACTGGGATTAGGTTGGTGCCAAACCAATCACTGGACTGATTTAGTAATCACTCACCATTAATCCCAGCACCCTTAATCTTAGCAGTGCACCGTGAATCAGTCACACGCTCTAGACTCAGCCACCTCTGAAAAAGCCCCACTTATAACCGCATGAGGCTTTGGGGGGACATCTAGACACAGCCATAACATTCCTGATCATGCAGCAGTCTCAAACCCCTGGGCTACAACTGTGCGGGAGGAAAGGGTGAAAAGAACGGGTTGATGCAAATCCATCTGCACTGACAATCAAGAGTTGTGGGTTCCAATTCTGGGTCCTTTTTCTGCCTGGCTATGTGGGCTTTTAGGATTCAGGATTCTCAACTGTAAAATGAGGTTGTTATTAAAAATGAATGATTCTAATCCAGGACTCCATGGATGTCTTACATCCATGGTTGGGATTTGGGGTATTCACAAACCCCTCAAGATGTGTAGAAATTTGTTTATGCCACAGGACCATTTCTAGAGAAAAAGTCTAGAACTTCAATCACATCTGCAAAAGGACTGCAGTGCAAAACCTGCTAATCGGCACTGGAGTAGATGAACTCTATTATCTCTTCTAGCTCTAACATTCAACAGTTCAAATAACAACGCTGAAACATATGAACATGCCAAAATTTTGGGATAAAACAAACAGAAAACACTCAGCTGAAACAATAACAGGTATAAGATCAGCCATCTTGCCTATGAAGGATTTGGTACTTGAATATTGAGTACTGTCTCGGTGTCTGGAAACCCCTGGAGTGGGCTGGACCTCTGAACTATAGATCACCAATGCTCAGTCAGGGACCAGCAAGCCAGCTTGTTCCCTTGCTTGAGTGTATTTCGGGTCATCAGAGGAAAGACATAGAAGACAAAGCTGTGTGTCATGATGCAAAGGGTTGGAGTCAAAACTATTCCGCATAGAACAGCATAAACAATCATTCTCAGCCACAGCTTGGACCCTATCACGTCAGAATCAAAGATTGGGGGTTCTGCCCAGTGGAAGGAGGTGCTCTCCTCAGCCTGCCTGGTTGAAACAAGGGTTTGCAAGACCCCGCTGAATGCAAGCTGCATTTCCAGCCTTCTGGAAATACGAAAATGACTTTGCATATGGTCATTATGGTGCAGGTGTGCCTAAGTGTTTGAACAGAAGAGCTTTCCTAGCTGGGGAAAGATTACATCTTCCTGAGTCCAGTACTGTACTACAGAATTTATTTTCTGAAACCACCCATCGCTCTACTGAATGTAGGGCTCCTCTTTGAAGTAGGCCTCCATGCCCAAGGTCTGAGCCTAATATGCTTTCCTCCTCCCGTGGGGCTCTCACAGGTACGAAGAAGGAGAAGCAGAAGAAGCAGCTGAGGCAGGAAAAGTGCTCCATGTGAGCAAGAGGCTCTCCCAAACTAGACCAGTAAGAAGAGGGCTTCAGAAAGACCCAGCTCTGAAGGACAGCACACTCATGCTTAGTTCTAAATCTGCTACACACCCACTGCCTGCTTCAAGTTAGAAGATTACTTAATTTATCTGAGCTTCAGTTTCTTTACCTGTAAAGTGTGACAAGAATAATCTCTAACCCATAGATTCACTGTGTACATGAACGAGGTAAGACAGGTGAAGCACTCAGCACCATTCCTGGTCTAGAGGAACCGTTTCCATAGCCAGATAATTTTACTGGTAGGGTTGCTGCTACTGTTGTCATCACTATTATTACTATCAACTGCCAGGCGCAGTGGTATGTGCCTGTAATCCCAACTAGCTGAGAAGGTGAAGTGGGAAGATTGCAAATCTGAGGCCAGTCTGGGGAGTTTAGCCAGATCCTGTCTCAAATTAAAAATCTTAAAAACGGTTGGAGGTATAGCTCTCTGGGTTCAGTTCTCAGCATTAAAAAATTACCAACAGTGTGTGTGAAGTTCCCAGCATATAAACCAGGTGCTCTATAACTAATTCTGTGAATTGTTTTTTTTTTTTTTTTCGTAACTTGGTTCTCAGCAGTGCTCCTACCCAGCAGGGGTGCTCAGGGCAACTACCCTGCCTCTTACCTTCCTTTGGTTGGTGGGATTGACGTAGAGGTAACTGAGAACAGTCTTCAAACCCACTTTGTCATTCAGCTTTTCATAGGTGGTGCCGTAATCTGTTGACCTGCAGTAAGAAGAAAGAGAACAAAAGAAAGAAAAAGGAAGAGATTGTTTTTATTGAGCAAGGGATGATGTTTAAAGGGAGTCATGCTCCCCAGTCCTGCGTCTTTGTTCCCAAATCAAATGAGTGCTTGAAAGTGTTCTTCAGAGATAAAAAGCCTCATTAATTTGAGAGGAGCAATTAGACCGACGCATCTGCTTACCACCTAAACTTGCTCCTCTTCACTCATGGCCTTTCTCAGAGACCTACTTTCTTGCCCTTTGTGAAGTTGCGCAGTAACCCCAGCTGCTGCAGACTGCCTGTCTCCCGTGGGGCTCTCTGTAAGGTGCTCAACAGGGGGCCAAGTTCCCACTGCCCGGCCTCTGTGCAGGAGCTTAAGGTGGAGGACAATGAGAGGATGCCGGACCGTTCCTAGACTTCAACCAACATCATATCCCTTTCACTAAGCCCGAAGCAACGGGACTCTCAACAGGGCAGGAAGGCCCAAGGACTTGTGGGGTCTAATGGCCCAACAAGGTCACTCCGGACAAAGGGTTTGATGCTTTACACAGGGGCAGTGGTGTGCCCAGGCTGAAAGCCAGTGGCTCGGAAAGGCTTCTGTGGTTCATCCTTCCCGTTTTCCTCCTGGATACCTGCTCCTCGTCTGAGCCTAATTTCCTGCACACTGACCTCAATTAACAGCTTAGAGAGCAGAGGCAGGTCACCCCATGGCGCCTTCCTCTCCACCCTGCCCTTCCTCAGCAGCAGAGGACAAGAAGGGCCAGAGAGCGGATTGAGAGTAGTGGGGTCATCCAATCTTCCACCTGGTCCCACTCCCCCACCCGTCATCGGCGTCCACCACCTTCCTCCATGTCCTTCCTTGGCCTCAGCTGGGACACTTCTCCAGCTCAGGCGCAGGAAGTGCACAGAGGCCAGCGCGTTTGCTCCACTGTCAGTGCACCTTGTTTTGCACTCTGTCTTGATCTCAGTCCAAAGCGCTAACTCTGTGCCTGGCTTTGGTTTTGTATCCAAAACCAGCTGCCACGGCATCTTTTTTAGCCTTAATTTATCTCCAAACTGTAATCCGATCCTGTGTTGGCCCAGAGCTTACCTTGCAAAGTCAGTGGCACAAATATGCAACGACTTATAAGGGTTTGCCCATCCTAGTCAACCTAGCACACTGCCTGCCTCGGGCTCCATGACGGTCACCCTCAGATTCTCCGATAAGGCTTCATTCACTAGCCTTTTCTCAGAGCACTATTCACCTCTGCTGTGCACAAGAACACTTTGCCCCCTCATCCTTCTGCATCCAAGGGCCAGCATATATGCCTCTTCTTATCTGATCTGTGACAGCGCCTTGATAAGGACAAAGCTCACAGAACGTAAACTTTGGGCATGGCAAAATCTCTGTTTCTTTCCTAGATCTGCAGCTTTCTCATTGCATGACCATGTGCAAGTTACTCAACCTGCTGAAGCTGCATACTTCGTATATGAAAAACGGAGCTAATTTAATCTCACAAGCATTTGTGAGGATGCAAAAATATAACCTACTCACAGGATGCAATAAACTGAAATATTAAAAAGTAAGAAAAAGGTGTGGAAGAGGTCCTTACACATCATATACATTTCACACATTACTGACTAAGTAAATGTCAGTATTTCAAATCCCTCCCTAGGCTACTGCCCACGTGGGCATCAGTTATACTAACTTTAATAGTCAGTCCCCCAAGAGGCTGGCTTCTTACAAGTGTCCTGTCCACCTCAAGCACAGAGCTCTAAGAAGCATGTCCAATATTTCTCTTTGCCTTTACCACTAAAAACCAGCTCAGCCTCCAAGTTTTCCTAATTCTGTCTCCTAAATAACTCGGATCCCTGATGTCCTCCCCATTCCTATGCCACTGTGTGGCTCACACAGTATTTTCTGTGACCAATGTTCTTTGATGTTCTTCTCCTTCCCTCCCCGATCCTCCACACTGCTATCTCCAGCTTGCATCTCATTCGCCGGGACCTGTCCCCCGCACTCCCGGGCCAGTGATCACCCACTACCAGCACACTGTCCCCAAGCTCCATTTTCCAAGCTCAGTGTTGTAAAATCCAGCTTCAGTCTCCTTTACAGGACCCATTTCCAGCCACTTGCTCTTCTGCTCCTCTCTCACAAGCCTCACGAAATGTTCCTAAACGTGTCCTGCATTTTGGTTGCTCGCCGCTTCTGTGTGCATCATTCCCATTATCAAGCCAGCCATCCTTTCTTCTTGGTAAACTTCCCTCCAACTTTCAACACCTAACTCTAATGCGATCATCCTTAAAACTTGCTTACAGGGAATAATTAATCACAATCCCATTTGTTTCTCCTGCCACCTTTGGACATATTCTATTACCAATCATCCTGTCTTCATCATCAGTATGCCTTGATTTGGACCTCTTTCTTGACTGATACTCCTTACAAACAAGAAGCATTAGCTATATAGTAGGAATGCCTTGTGTCGTGCCTGGTAAAAAAAAGTCCAGGTACAGTGGTACTCTGGTTTATGAACTCAGTTCTGTCCACGATCCTGGTTGCAAACCAAACTGGGCGAGAATTGAATCAAATTTCCCCATGAGCTCAACATTGAACCCAACCACTGAATTTGATTTGGTTCTCATCCAACTCGGTTTGTAGCCAGAACCATGGAAAGAATCAAGTTTGTGAACCATTTTGGTGTTGTCTTACTTTGCCTTTATTTGTGAGAGTGGATGAATGCATGAATGTGTGAGTGGATCCAAACATACTCTGCGGTTTTTAACCACCTGCTAAGGTTCAGTGACAACTCAGCACATAGCCATTCCTAGAAATCACTTGTGGTGCCGTGGACACCATCATCATTGCACAGATCGCTGAGTATCTCATGCCAAGGAAGGATCTGCACTTTGCTCACTCTAGGATGAAGAGGAAATGACCACTTGACCCATCACACTGAGCAACTATGTTCCCTGGTGCAGCGCAAGAGACAAACCATGATCTCTAGACTGCCCATGCATTCTTTTATTAACCCAAATAAAAGTATTTGGTAGAATGAATTATGTCTGGGTTCTACATTCCTTATAGCATAGATAGAGCATGGTGTGAGAAAAGAACACAGAGGTTGAAGTCTCACTGATATACTCCAAGTGTTACCCAGGAGAAGCCACTTCTCTAAGCCTGTGATGGAAAAAATTATTCTGGTTCCTATTAAAATGTTAAGCCAGACTTTGTTCAAACATCTACAATAAGTGCAAATACTATCACAGTGGGGTTTGTAGTAGAAGAGAGATTTGGCTTAGCTCCAAATACAAAGAAAAGCAGGAATTTATAACCAAGGAGAAGGGTAGGGCGTCAGTGGATAGAAAATTCCTGAGGGTCTAGGATAACTCTTTGCTAAACTCACCCAATAGAATTTCTGCAGAATGCAGACTAGGGTGCTCAGATATTACCCGGGGAACAGTGGAGGATGAAGACTTTGATCATACAGCCAAGCTAAGGAATTCAGGCTAAACTTAGTATTTTTACTAAAATTGGGCTCATGAGAATATGCCCCAGGTTAGAACCTAGTTAAAAAGAGCTCAGAAGAGACTGACCGAATTTGGTGAAGAAGAGAAGCTTTGCCCAGTCCCATTCTATAGTATGAAATGTTTACCTCAGAAAATCACAAGGCCCCTCATAAACCTTCAACTTTATTATCTCAACAACACAGTGCTGGGCTGTGTTCCAGCTAGTGACTCTCCCCACACTATCTAAAGCAAGTATCTTCTAAGAGCTAAATTCTCAGGGCTCCCTGCATGACTGATATCGTAACAAACTTCCTTCTAGAATCGAAATAACTGTCATCAAAGGCAGCGTGCTTAGCACCACACACAGTCTCTCTCACAAGCCAGATTAGCACCGCCTTTGCTCTTCTCCAGAAGTGACTGCTGAGAACAGGGACTTCCCAACAAAGGATGCTCGCTGCATCTCTTCCCCCTCCGGCCTCCAGCGGTCTGCTCGTTCAGTCCAACCCTGAAGACCCCTCCGGCAGCCAGGAGGCCCGTGGAATCCTAGGTTCCCTCGACTGTCCTTTCAGCATGGACGCCGCACACGCCTTGCCTACAGCATTCTGTAGGCCCGCTTAGCCTGAGGAGAGGAGCAGATAGCACAGAGGTCTCAGCCTCGTGGCCAAAGACAGCTGTGCCCCAGAACTTGCTCCAACACCAAAGCAAACCATCTTCGACCTTGCAGCTGCATACATGGGCCATGGCAGGGGTCACTCAGAGGAGACAGGTTCAACTCACTGTAGGTAAACCCATCCTCCCAAATTTTGACAGTGCTTTTATAAAACGGAAGCGCTCAGTACACTGACACGTGCACCCGGCTCCCACCACAAGCTAACCCTCTGCCTCTGTGTTTGCAGTTGCTTGGGCACACGGCTGACGTGGAGAGCAGCACGTGAGCATGTGTGCAGCCACAGAGCCCACGTTACTCCAGCTCTACCTCACTGGTGTGTGTGTGTGTGTGTGTGTGTGTGTGTTTGCACGGGCACGCGCAGGTGTGTGGCATGTTGCAATGGAACCATGCTGTGCATGGTTTCTTCTGCATTTGTGAAAGAAGCATTTTCAGGGCGGTATCTCCTTGTGAGGTCCCTGGGTCATGTTCTTCTCTGTGTGCAACCTCCACCTTGCTGGGTATGGACAACATTTTCTCCAGGAAGGTTGAATCACTCACCCTACACTGCCAGGTACCCCGAGAGAAGAGGGACCGCCCTCCGCTACTCCCCAGAGGTGTGTTGGGCCACTCTAGGGGAGGATATTGACTCCAGGCTGAGCCCATGCCCCCATCACAGACCTCTCCCCTCATCCTCACAGGTGTCACAATGTCCACGAAGACTGGTGCATTGTGGCCCAGACCTACAGGTGCCTGGCTGCTCTGGGAGGACCACGCCACCAGTGCAATCTCAGCGGAGGACATGTGAAAGTAGAACACACCTTCACTCACTCAGCAAACACCACGCTTCTCATGAACTGCCGGGGTTCAG